GTGAATTCAAAGACAATTGCAATAGGAATGAATTTAACGACAGCAATAGAAGCAGCAGTGAAGAAAAAAAAAAAAATATTCAAGATTCATTTGAAAACCCAGAACAATGAAATGGACCCCCTAAACTAGCTCCAGCAGATCAGGCAAGGGGTGAGAACAGCAGCAGTAGCAAAATCAGGTGAGCAGCAGAGCAGGGGAAGCACCATGACCACGTAGGTGGGCTCCCCAGGGCAGGTGGTTGTCCCTAATATGTCCTCCATAGGAGGTCTATATTGAGTAGATTTTTGGTGTTAGGAGGTGGTACTGGAGCTTGCTCCATCCCCTCCATGCATCAGCCTAGTATTACAGTGCTTCCAGGAGCAGTGCAATAAACAAAATAGTAATAAAAAAAAAAAAAGCATTGAGGAAAAAGCTAAAAGCAGACTGGGGAGGGAGAGAGACAGAGCAGGATGGGGCTGGAAGCAGGTGGGGAAGGGAGTAAGCACAGGGCCACAGGATTAGGCTGGGAATAAAGCAGTAGGAGCGAGTGAAATACTCTTTATTTAAATCCATTTAAATTTATTATTATTGAGAATCCTCTGCCAAAAGATTATGCCAAATGAACTAACAAGTATAGTTTGCACGATGACAATTAGTCTAGGCTTGACATGCAGACCCAGAAACTAGCAACTGAGGAAGAAAGGAGAAGCTACTTCACATTCACAAACTGTGAATGCTCAGCTCTCACTACTCAGTATCCACCTAACACACTACATAGTGAAAAGGTACAAGCCATAATACAACTGGTTCCCACAGTGGAAGACTTGAGTGAGTACTGACAGACATGATGAGGACATGCAAGATGAGGAGATCAATGCATCTTGCCTGCAAGTTGTGGATCCTAGTTCTCACAGTGCAAAGACAACTAACACTCAAGTTCCAGTACTCCTCTGTACTTAGGTTTTTTTTTTTCTTAAAGTGGTAGGGGCACTATTACAGAATTTTAAAGTGAAAACTCCAATAGCTACTTGATGTGTTGGTGGGCTTAGCAGCAAGGTGTATGTCTCTTCAATCAAGGGAGGAGTCCAGAACCATGGATCAAGAGGATATGGGCACAACAAATGACTGAAGGAACTGGAATGGGGATGCTGTTTGAGAAGTGAGGACTTAAGCCGAGACCCCAGGACAGTGCTATTGGTCTGTGAAAGAATCCAAGCAATTAGCACACATGACCCAATGCACTCATGGCCTGGATAGATGAGAAACTTTAGGGAACACCTCCCCACTGAGCTTCCTTTTTCTAGTCCAGGGTAGCCAGCCAGTCCATGATGTACCTGTCACAGGTAACCCCAGCAGCCTTGCAGTTTAATTTCAGAATGAAGGCACTTTCATTCTTATGTCCCCAGGCACAAACCCTGTTAGGTATGCCTCTGGGGGATGGGGGATCAGAACAGCAGCTGGAGAGGGCTAGGGCTTAACTTGTGGCACACCTGCCAAAAAGGTTGACCAGCATAACTTTTGTCACTGGAACATTCTACCTCAGGCCTATGTAACTACATATCCCAGTGTAGCAGTTCCAGATTATTATAAAGAAACTCAAACAAGTATAACTGAGAGAAATGCTCCTATGAGGGCAGCAGTTAGCAATAGTGCTACTTTGCTACACAAGCCTGAAACAATACCACCCCTTGCCACAGATTTCCACTTTCTATAGGGGTTCTGGTGGTGTGTGCGCATATGACTTCCATCCCTCACATAGAAGAAAAAGGACCAAATCAAAGTGAAGAACCTTACCGCAGAGACCTGCTCTACTCACTAAAGCAGGGGTAGTCAAACTGCAGCACAAGTGTCACAAATGGCAGGGGCAGCCGATAAGAGCAGGGAGCTGAAAGCAGAACAGCAAAACTAGTAGGGGAAGGAAGGGATTGGAGTGACACTGGGGGAGGGTCCAGGGTTTACCTTGTGGCATGCCTACCAAAAAAAAAAAAGCTGGCCCCCACTGGTGTAATAGTAAAAGAAAACCCCCCAGAAATTTAAATTAATATATTCCTCAGCATCAAGCAATGATCTTATTTTATTTTATTTTTTTTAAATAAAACTGCATTTCTCCTAATACCCAGTCTCAGGGAACTGCAGAAATACTTCAGCATAAAGGACCTGAGCATGTCATTTAAAAACAGCAAAGTAATTGAGTAATTTTAGAAGTCTGTCAGACAACAAGAAAGCAGTCTAGATGAGCAGTTCCAAAAACAATCTGCAAAGAGCAGATCACTGTATGGTGCCAACTCCTAGTTTAGTCACTTTTACAGCCATCCATACTCTCTTCTAGTGAGGAAAAAAGATCCACTATAAACCAGTGGCCAGCCCATGCAACTCCACAGCAGGCTAATGGTTATATAGGAAGAAAGGGAAAGCTGCTCTATGGACCAGCTGAACAGTATACAAGGAAACAAGGTACAAAGCAATTGGACAGCATATTCAAGAATGCAAGCAGGGAAGAGGACCAAGTGGTTTGGCAGCTGTCCAGAGAAATGTGTAGGAGGAAAAACAAGACAACTTAAAAAAAAAAAAAACCCACACAGGTGAGCAGGGGCCAAGAACAGATGGAAGGAATATCAAAAAGACTGCACAGTACCACAAGCAGAACATGATGGCTAACTACATCAGCAAACTATAGTTCTACATTTAATAAACACTTTAAATGAGGGAATGATGTTTTATTTCCCTTCTCAAAGCCACTGAGCTAGGGAACATGAACAATTTGCTCTTATTCAAATTACAACAGCTAGCACTTTAACTTTTTTCTAGAATCAGTTCCAAAGGAACTAAGTAGTAAACAAGTGCCTTATAACAGGTTTATGAATAGTTAAGTATGGTATTCATCTTCCTACACTGCCAAGTTGAAGAATCCTTAGGCTATTTCTCCCAATCCAGAAGATTAACTTTCTTATTTAAATTGCTTAGGCTGAACAGAACTATGCTTCACAATGGAAACAGGAAGTCTAATGCACCGAGTTTAGAGAGATGCAAGCAAGGCAGTTCATACAGAAGACCAAAAAGCTTTAAATTTCTTTTTATAGCACAAGTAAACTGAAGGATGCATGTTACGAACCATCAAGATTGCTTTAATCTGCCTTTGTGGCATAGCAGGTTTGGTACAAACAGGAGCTCCTTTGTCACCAGTCAGGTAAAGTGATAACATTAGGGGGCGTGTCAGTATGAATCCAGATTCATATCAACTCAAGCCGACAGTCATCCCGAGGCACCTTGCCACAAACGGTACCTAACCATTCAAACTGTTAAGTCAAAAACTTGACTACCTTAACAACAATACCTTAGCGAGCCAAGCAGGCTCAGGCAGAAACCTTGGGGTGAGAGGAGGGAGAGCCCCAGTACTAACTGTATACCAGACTCAACCAGAGAAATAAAGCTATCAGTCAAGAGTCTATACACCAAAGATGGAAAATGGTTAGCCATCTCAAACATCTCTCTAGTGCCTCTCTGCTCATGAAGGTCCTTAAGCAAAGCACGAACCCTGTGCTCTACAGCCTGGCTTAGACAGATATGCAACTAGCCAATATCTCTTTTTCACTCTGGTATACATTTGTTAATGTTTTGAACCTTCCCCTATCAGAATATGTATAGACTAGTAGCAGTTTCCTCATGAACAGCCATCAACATGAACTCCAATTTACAAACTGCCTGCACTGGTTATGCTACAAAGACAGAACACCAAGAGAGAGAGAGAGAGAGCCCTGAGTTCACAATTTTTCATCCAGAATCAGCACAATCTATTTTAAGCAATGTTTTCCTTAACATGGAAAAAGTAGAGAGGATTACTGCTGGTCAGCAAGATATAACTGCAAGGGTTTTTATACCTCACTTTTTGGGATGGCTTAAGGAAAGCACTTTTCAGAATGGCTTGTTCATTTACAGGTAAAAGGGGGAGTGGTAGGAGAAATACTACAGTAGTAGTAGTGCCATAGCAAGAAGCTAAACAGAGCAACCTGGAAGTTTGATTTAATGAAAAAGAATAATCACTGGAGAGGGGCCAGACAGAGCAAAAGGATACATATTATTAACCACAGGCAGGATAGCAGACTACTGGCAGGAAAGGCAGGCAGGGAGGGTTCTCTCTCAAGGCCATTGTGAACAGTCATATGTGGATTAACAGAGAAGAAGCAACTTCCCAGACCTGGCTAGAGACTCACAAGCCATACATTTGTAGGGCAAATTGAAGAGACTGAGCATCCCCTGATGTGACCAAATACGTGTAGGTTCAAGAATGAGTTTTGTCAGCTTTATTTCATGCACCTCAGGCTGAAAGGCAGAGGACCAGTTTAACCTGGGACTGATTAGCCTGGGATTCAGGTCTCACAAAACCAGGTGCAGGGTTGGCACATTCCCAACCAGGGCAGTTCATTCACAGGAACTGCAACTGTTCGCTGTGGCCAAGCCTTCATTCAGACAGAGTGGGGTTCTTGGTGCAGGGCAGGGGCAACTGAGCTTGGGGTTGGTTGTAAAACAAAACCCTCAAACCCATATCAGGCCTGGTTGCAGCCTGGCTCAACTCCCCCTCCCCACCCCACAAACAACTGCTGCCCGTGTACACTTCATGCCTGAGGCACACAGAACAAGCCTGCCCCACAGCTATGGCAGTGCATGGGAGTGTGCGTGTGCAGGAGAGGCTGTCACCCACCCCTGCAGTGCAGTGCAGTGCAGTTGTCACCACGGGGTCTGGCTGGGAGGTCCTGCCCCCCTTAATCCTTAAGGCTGGGGCAAGCAGTGAGGCACGATCCTTGCAGCCCCCCCATACACCCACTCCCCGCGCTCCCCCCCCTCACGCAGGAAGGGGGCGGTACCCACTCGCTGAGTCACAGCGCAGCACGAGGCTGCGCCGGTGACTCACGAGCCCCAACCGCCCCCTCCCCACCCAACCGCCTCCCGCGCGAGCACGCGCATCCTCTCCCTCATCACATCCCGGACGCGCGCGTGGGTCAACCCCGCCCCCCAAGACCGACCTGATGGGCGCGAGGTGCAGCTGGTCCTCGCGCAGCCCCCGCCAGGCGCCCGGCAGGAACTCCTTGCACCACAGGAACGCGCGGCGCCGCGTACGCGGGTCCGGCTGCTGCGGCAGCGGCTCCTCGCTACCCGCCGCCAGCTCCCTG